CCGATAGGTAAGAGCTTAACCGTAACAATTTCTATTTATTTCTTGTCTCTCAGCCTTCAAGCGGTATTCATTCACATAATATAATTAAGTGACTTTAAGTTGTTTGTTACTAGGTTGGAACAAATATCATTGTCGGTATTCAAGAACTTCTTAATAGAAGTTTTCAGGCGTGTTCTGTTGCCATTACACACCCTTAAAGCATTATAGGTAGTTCTTAAATAGTGTAGGTACACATTTACAACATGATGACGGTTAAATAGTGATGACTAATATTTTATCCAGACTAAACAATATCGAACGGCATATAATATGTACAATCTACCCCGATGGTGAAAAATGTAATGTCCACCTCCGACTCAAACGAGCTTATAACATATTATTTGTAATTGGAAGCTTTGCTAGTTGACTGTTGTTTTATTATTCTCTGTGTATAATACCTAGATGTAATGTTTTTTTGTCGCGGTCGACAAGTTAATACTTACTTACACTGGCTTCGGGTGTGACGGGTGCGAAGCCCCTTGAGAATACGACACCATGATCGACTCCGGAGTCGCGTCGGTTCATTTCAAGTGTTCAGCTGCGACCGTTTCATTCCAAGTGCTTTCAAAAAAATAACCTAACCACCGTTACATTGTAAAAAATCATTTGCATTTTTCTTTATCAGTCCCTCTGGCGTGAACGTGCCTCTCCATAATTATGCACACCGACTCGAAGACCCCCCTAGAAGAGATTGCCCGAAGATATACTATATGCTCACACAATGCAACGCATATAAAATTGTATACATGTACTTACTTGTGCTTTTTAAATAGTGCAGACGTTCTATTGCTGCTGTATGCAAAACCATCGAGGTCTACTTAAATGCATATGGAGATGATTTGAGACAAATACAAAATTCCTGTATAGTCGAATGTTAAAAAAAAAAAAAAACATTATAAAAACGGTATAGTCAAAAATACGTTAGATCACAGTGTATAACACAACATATTATTCATTGCCCGTTTCAGTGGACTTTGATTGTTTTAGTACGCATTTTTAAAAACAAAATAATAAATTCGATTACTTTGTTACGCGCGTTAAACAGTTAATCAAAGTACGGAAAACATCTATTCCACTAAGAATTATCTACGGTCATCCAAACATAGTTTAAAACAGTACAATATGTATTACTGTGTATGAACACTTCACTTCATACATAGTATAACAAAACCTTTAAAAAAATATTAACATGTTTAGAATAACTTTAAATGCAGTTTTTGTTTTTCAATCAAGTACCACCACATCTAACGTTGTATCGAAATTAATAATATATTTAGGTGTTTTACAGATACCTACAATGTAACTTACGGTTATTATAGGCACTAAACAATTATACAATATAGTTTTTACTTTGTATCGTCTACACACAGAACGTTAACCGTTAAATAGTTGTTTGTCTGTGTCCTTCGTAAACCATAAAAAGGGTTATAAAACATTTTCAACGTAGGCGTGGAATAAATGGGCAGATTAATTTTGCCTTAAATGGCGTAATAAGCTGTACTTTGACCTTTACGTTTGGCCATAATTAAGTATTTTGACTTGAACAACCAACATAACGGTCGAGCGAGTGTTTAAGACGAAATGTTGTACTTGATTAAGTGTATTATATTCTCTTCGAAATCAACTTACAGCCTGTGAACGGAACTGTATATAGGTAGTCGTCTCCGGACTTAGCTATTTTTTTTTTTTTGACATTGTTATTTATGTGTATAAATATTACATTAGACGGGAAGGTAGTTTAATGTGCATTTGTACCGCATAAGCGAATTTTTTTTTGTAAAACAAGAAAAGACCATAATATACTGTTGCCACTAAATAATTACTTGTATTAATCATAATGTTTATTATATTCATTTGTACGTCTAAGAAATTTTACACGATCTTGGACATTAGACAAACTTGTCGCGCATGTGTGTGTGTGTGTGTGTAAGAAATAAAACAATTTATATATTTTTTCTCGTCTCGATGGATTACAATGTTTTCAAAAAATCACATTAATTAGTCGCCGTGTCGGTCCGGCTGGCGAAATAAATTACTATACAAGACATTGGAAAACGTGTTATAACCAAATCGGGGGACGTACATTCGAGCATATATAGGTACATGTTTTTCTTAAATTTTCGGTTTCTTTTTTTTTTTTTAGCTTCAGTGCAGAACCGTTGTTCGCGGTGGACATGTTGTATCCCACACTTATGTTTTTGATTATCATATAATATGAATGTGTGCATGCTGGGTACCAGTGTTGCGCCTGGACCGTCACCGATTTCAAGACCACTGGCGCCAAAAAACGACCGAAACTTTCGCTATTGACCGGTGACTGGTAAAAATTCAATTGCATTAATCAGCTTGAATAAGCCTGACAACATTTCGACTACCCTGGATGAATAAGGAGCAACACTGTATTTGCTAGATATAATCTATAATCACTACTAAATGTTTTAGGTCTAAAATAACACCAAAATGGCGTTTACTCGTTGAAACTGGAAAGTTAAAAATAATATTTTGAAGCTTTTAAAAATTAATCTGCTAATAAATCGACACGGTCGAAATATATTACAACCCAATTTTTTTATTAATCATTGCCTATTTGAAACTTCTTAAAAACCGTACCGCTTAATAAAAGAATCGTAATTAAACTCTCAAAGTGCGTATGATAATACTTGGATAAATATTGAAACCAAGTGTTTCGGGCATCTTAGTCACTGAATCACTCAATGATTTTATCTTTGTATTTCGTTTATTAAAAAAAAAAAACACTTCATAGCTATTAGATGAAACTATTAATTAAAGACAAACAAAGCTCTCCAGACACCTAGGGTAAGTATAAACAGTTACCATGACTCAATATTTTATGTTTTTACCCTCAAAGATGCTATGAAAGAGTATAAGATATCATATTTTTACATTATAAATATATGTGTACATAATACAATTGAATTTGGCAAGTAAAATGATCTAATCTCATCCGACCTACCTCAACATGGGAATCGACAACGCAGTATAGTTGGGTTAATCAACGAAACCAAAGAAATCCACTATCACATGTGAACCACAAGAGTAAAAAAAACAAAACACTTTCACGAGTCAACTACAACAGCTAGTGTTTAGAAACCGAGTAAAGTATAAAACTGGTAATAGTTGTTAGAAAATGATCGCTAAACCGCACCGTGATTTGTAAAATGGTCAACTTTACCGTTTGTTCGATCACAATGGCGGGTAACTCTGTGGCCGTGGAGGTGTAAAATCAACCTCAATACAACGTAGGATGAGAACTTGCCCCGAGCTTAACCCTATCGTTTGTAAACTTTCACTAATATTTAGCAACCTTTCGGCAACTAATTTCGACCTACTTTAAAAAATTCGCGATTTACTCCTTCGTGGTGAAAAATGTATTTTTTATTTCTGAGCTAATTTGACGTAGCTGCAACTTTATCCAAAAACCTCCGGACTTGCGCTAAATTGTACCTATCAACTTTTATGACGTCATAACCAACTTGAAACGAATTACTTCTATAATTGCGCTCGACGAAGTAAAAACACTAATATTGTAAGCAATTTAACAAAATGTAAGAAAAAGTTCTAAAATAACAGTGCTATAGTTTATTTATTCCCCCTCCCCGTCTTACCGTCGACCTTTTATAATTTAAATACAATTGGATAGAGTAATTTTTAGGATAATTCAAAGATGTTTAACTTAGATTCTTAGGAAAATATTAGGATAGTTCGAAAATAAAATACTGTTTTCAAGGAGTTTCAGAAATCATCGACATAAGGATAAATAGGTCATTATGTCCTATTCAACGACCTGTTATCGTCAAAAGGATACTAAGCTTAAGAATGAATTTTAATACTGTTTTAGATTTCAATGCTAGATCAAGTATAGATAATGTCATGTTCTGGCTTTTTAATAAAAGATTAAAATAGAGTCAAAAAAACATATTTTGGATTTCGAGAATGTACATAGTATTTTAAAAATATTTACATGAAAAAAATCGATTGGACCAAATCCAGTTGAGATAAACTGTCAATTCGTGTTGTAATTTTCAAAAAAATATATACTTACGCTGCTTGAACTGTATCAAAATAAAAAATGGAACTAGAAAGTTAGTATACAAACTTTATTTATATAACACAAGGAATTTAAACGAGTCGTTAATTAGTAAATTAAATAAATTAAAAATTATATTAATATGTTATTATCAAAATATGTAAAAAATAATAAAAAAAATGTTGTACGAGGTCTTTTTTAAAGGTTGGATAAAATTATGAGTCCTTTTTTTTTAATAAAAATGATCACCCTAAATTGAGGCGTTTCAAAACCAGCAAAAGGCATTAAAACATTTTTTTTTTACGTGGCCACACTGTATTACATGGTATGCAAAACAGCTATTATTGAATATCAAATAAAGATTGCAGCTAATTCAAACTGTGTTGGGAAAATCTTTGTCGGTTTCAAAATCGCCTAACCAAAAAAAAAACAAAAAATGATTGGTTGTTTGTGAACATTTTCCAAAAATTACTTATAGCCGTTTAGACCCCTCAAGAGCTTTGTGGATTGTTTTTATCATAGGAGAATTGACATTCTGGTGGCGTTTCCGTGGTCGACTACCGGTCGGTAAAAAAAAAACCTACAAGACCAAGAGGGGAAGGCGTTTTGGCGTGTTTTTTTTTATTATCAATTTTTTACTTCAAAACAGACGTACACACAACAAAGGCTAACGACCAAAGGGGGTGTCCGCGAAAAAAAAAACCAAACCGTATATAATATAATATTATATATTTATATATATATATATATAATAATATATATATATATATATAAAACTACTACCACTACCACCACCACCGCCACCACTTTGTGTGAGTGTGTGTGTGTCGTATCGTTGCCGGCTTCGGTGCTGCTGCTGCTGCCGCTGCTGTTGCTGCCGCCGCCGCGCGACCGCGAGACCGTTGGGTCGTTTTCATCAGTCTGTGTTTGGCCGTCGTTCACGCGGTTCTGCTTGTACGATATTATATTATATTGTATACATTTACCTACATGCATTATCGCCGTCGTCAAACCCGTCGAAACCACCGAGTCGGACCGTCGTCTGCCGCGCGCTTATACGGCTTACCAGCAGTCGTCGTCAAAAGGACAAAATAACGATAGAGAGAAAAAACAACCACGCTCGTTTCGCGCTCTTTTTAATTTTTTTTTCGTGCGTCGATTAAATAAATAAAAAAAATAATAATAAAAAAAATTGAATTTACTTATCCTTCCAAGTTTTCCGCACCTCGGACATGATCGTCGCGACCCGCGACCGGCGGACGCGCGGTCCGCACCACGGCCCGGTCGTCCGGACCAAACGGTGATTCGACAAACGCTGCGAATAATATTAGTACTATTACCACCGCAAGACACACGGTCATCGATAGATAGAGAGATAGATAGATAAAAAAAAAACATAATATTATAAAACCGTACGTCCAAAACGCCGCGAATCGGTCCCCCGGCCCGTGAGGTGACCGTTCTAGCGCAGGAAATATAATAAAATACACCCTGTTGTATTTTATTATTATTATTATTATTGTATCATCAACGGCGACAGGAAAAACTAGCCAAAGGTCGACGGCAGGTCTACCCGTGCAGACATGGTGTGTGGCCGACGACTACGACGCCGCCGCTACGCACCTGAATCCTCACCTGCTGCATGAGTCGCGTTCAACCGCTTACGTGAGTATACTTTAATGTTATAAAAATAGGCTTTACCAAAAAAAAAAGTTTTACTATTTCGTCCGTCGCAATTGAAAATTTTTTTTTAAAAAAAATGTCGGAGACGCTGAAAACCGATTTACAACGGGTATAATTATTACAAACGACCAGCGTGCTAATATCCTAGTCGGTATATTTTTTTCGTTTCTACGAAATTGTAATACGATATTTATCTTTGTCCGTCGAATCAATTAATAAAAAAAAAATATATATATATATATATATTACAAATCGATTAGATTGTAATATTAGTGTTAAAGCTATTTTCGTGGTCACGTCCGAACCGCGAGATCGTCGTCGGTCAGTTTTTTTCGGCGTACACAATATATTACAAGTATATACATATAATAATAATATGTATATAGGTATACACACACCTGTGTGGAGGGTGTGTTTGTGAGAGTAAACGAGTAAACGCGTTGACCGGTAATTAAAAAAAATAAAACATACCTAGACCGTCTCGGAGGGCTGGTTAGTAATTAAAACAGGACAAGGAGGCGGCGGCGGCGGCGGCGACGGCTAAGGAGTTTAAAAACGAGAAATGTATAACGTTTGTCGATTCGTCGGGCGCCAACCTTAAATCAAACGAGCCCGAGACTCGTGTGTGTGAACTTATACACTGTACACACGTTTCGTTCGTGATTAACGGTTAATGCCTATTTAATAATAATAATAATAGTGTATTATTATATTTACATGTCGTTATTGCGCTACGCAGACTGCACGACTGCAGACAACAGACAAAATCGGCATTGCCTACAACTGGACAAGACGTAGATTTTTGCAAAAAAAAAAAAAATTCGTTTAAAAATACCTACCCCAAAATCTATTAGGTATTTCGGGCAAACGGATAACGCGCGCCCTCCGAAAGGCTTGCTGTGTTTGTGTACCCGGTGGCCGCTGTACCGTTTAATTGGTTGTATTCATAGTGGCAAACTGTTTAAACGGCCCGATAATGACTACACATTATTATGGTTATGTATTTATTTTTTTTCAATTGTTGTGTAATTAATAAAATAAAAAAACAACGGTTACTCGTCTCGCGATATTGTTTTGTGTTACCAGGGAGAAATAAATATAGCGATGTTTGTATTGATATATACAAATATTTGATATAATATATATATAATTTTTTTTTTTTTTAGAAAAAAATGTCATTCTACGAAATCCAATATACGACGGCCAATAAGAACTGTCGGTTAGGTCAATCTAAATCTAAAAAAAACACATTTCACCGAATGTATATTAATATATTATAACTATATGATTTATGTGTCGGCCGGATATAATATACATACATAATGTTATTACTACAATACCATGATACGGGCATACGCGGTTCAATAGCTAACCTGTTGAAATGTCAAAGTGCAACGTGACCCGAACCGCGCGCGCTATTATTATTTTCTGTTTGCCAATTATTATTATGTTATAATATTAAAACAACAGAGATATCTAATCCTCGGTATTGAATAAATATTGATAATATTATAATCGGCCCAAGCGCTAAAACCCAATAGCTTTTGTTTTTTCGAAGAAATTTATATATCCTAATTGCCACACACCGCGTTCGCACGACACTTAAAGTGACATTTAACATATTTTCTTTTTTCACTTTACACACGGCTGTAAACTTTTCGTACGTCTCATCATCCCGCCAACTAGGCATTGTTGTTTGATTCACTTTCACCGCCGTTGCACAACTCAAACGTATTTTGGTATAATGTTATTGTTATTTTTTATCAGCACTCCCTTTTTAGTAGGTCACCACCGTGCGATTGTCGTCGTTGGTGTTATACTTTTTCTTATAGCGCCGAGAATGTCGTTCTGGAAAACAGCAACCGTACAACAACGGCCATACAGTACGGGTGGTAATTGGTTGTAACATTATTATCATATATTATAAATTGTACTTAACACACAATCGTAATCCAAATGCAGTGCTAAAGGGGGCAAAAAAAAAACAATCTATAACCACTGCACCAATTGCGTTTCGTTGAACTCTGTAATTTAGCCCGTGCGAGGCGTCGCCGTTAACCTAATCAGCTCGGTGCACGCCCGTACGGATCAACTGACCAAAAGAGTTCAACCGACCGCGGTGTTAACAAAAATTTAGGTGAACACAAGACAGATTTAGGAAAATATGCAATTTGCCACAACTCCCAGACCACAACCGTCTACTGTTTATTACTACGCTTTGATTGAGGTTCGAAAAACAATATTATCGCCAAACGACCAAAATATAAACGATTTCCGTCCACAACCCAAAACTCGATCGCGATGCATCTGTATTTCTCTGGCGTGCATTCCAAATTCCTCTCTCTCTCTCTCTCTCTCTTTCTGTCAACGCTTATAGTCGGCCATTGAGTAAACCTTGAGCAATTAACCGTGCCGGGCATTATCGTTTTGTGCTCGCTTATGAGTGCATTTTGTTGACACACAGAATATACCAGAATATAATATATATATATATATATGGAATAAGAGAACACACACATACATTATTATCCTGTTACTAACATAGTGAGCGGCGCACAAGTCGGGTAGGTACGACGGCACACACACTCTCCGTCCCGTATATATGATACACTTCACTTACATATTATACAGCGCGACAACGCAATCCGGTGTAATACACAGTATACATGTTGTGTATACACAAGTACGGGGACTTCGGAGATAAGACTCCGGATGACACCATTATACCCTCAGCCGCCGCTGATGTTTACAATAACCGTGTAAGTGCGCGCCCGATCAACAGTAATTATTAGTGTCGTCGGATTGTCCTTTTGGGCAACCGTGAGTCTGGTCGAGAAAATAATGTACGTATAATGTGTGTGTGTGCGGTGGAAATTCGAAATTTCCAGTTTATCGACCAAGTCTGAACCCGATGAAATATATTATGTACGAGTTAATAACAGTCCAAATGGGACTTTCGGATGAATACATTAATTGTGAATGCCACATAATAGTATTACCCATATACTCGTTCAGGTCCGGTATGCTATATTATACGGCTAACGTTGTAAGTCATTGAGTAATTTGGATTTTCATTGATATTTCGTTGAAAAAATGTAAACTGAAACGGCCAACGAGCATAACAGCTGCCAATGACTCATATTCCGTTCGAAGAACGATAGACCAATGGAACCGAGCAACATTTAAATCACAATCGACTATTGGCTATTGCAAAATATTGATGTGAATGATGGCAATCAAAAGTTTATTGTTGTGAAGTAGAAAAAAAAATACCCTAGGCCACTAATTAAATGATGTTGTTTTAAGAGTAGGTATATGTAAAAACAATTTGGCCTTAATGCGTTGATGGCCTAATGTGGTTTGGAGATGTGGGAGAACGACAGGTTCAGAGGTGAGATCGAACGCAATTAAACGCTTGCCCTCTCAGGTGACCTTTACCGGTTGGCGTTCACAACAACGGCCAGTCAATAACTTGTCCGGTCGTCGGGGAGACACTAATGCGATCGGGCCCGTTTTCATTGTCATCTTGGAGTCGTATATGACACCGAAGGAGTCATCAATTAACCGCGAAGACTGCACTGCACGACCGTCATGTATCTGTTACCATGCTCCTCTCACTTTATGCTTTCGGCGGGTCTTTGTAATTATTAGTACCGCGTTATTACCATAAAGACTCCGGGAGCGCACAAACACGTACTATTCCAAGAATCGATTTCGGACAAAAAAAAAAGATAAGTCAAGGTGTGCGAGACAAGTCCTTTAAACCATGTGTTAAAACAAAACGACCATTAGCGTTGCAAAACCAACGCAACGCAAATACCGACTACTTCACAATACATCATCGGCCAAATACAAAAGTTGTGCCCCTTATACATTGTCTTAAAAACTCACGACATTGTTTTATTTAATATCGAATTAATGAAGCCAGAAGGGCTGCATTGATGGAAGATGATATTATCTTTATTTTTATTATTTCGTCAACTAATGTTGTCGAACATTAAAGAAAATATTATTTTTTTAAACTTGTAGGTCAGCCGTTATCTCCTTTACTTGCTTACTGCCTACTTATTCCACTAGGTATTGGTCACGATGTAAACGGATATTATTTTTATATATACAAAATTAACAATATTGTTGTTAAATCACCATAACCATGTTTAGCTATATTATACCTTGTGTGACTCAACCATCGGGGAAGAGCGATGCAATTAGATTTGAACCCGATTGGGTTGTACGGAATTAGGTTTGTGTCGATGAGCTACATCGATAGTTGAAAAAGAAGTGAAGAATTTTTTACAGGCGGACCAGGCGCGTTCTTATTTGGTTTATCGACTAACCGTAGGATTCTTAAAAAAATCAATTTAGGTATAATAAATTCATTATTGCTTTGGTATTGCAACAATATATCATAGCGTCCGTAGGTCGATCAGCTGTTACAGTACATATTATTAGCCGGTAGTTGCGACAACGTTGTGTGCGGTACAATATCGAAAACCCGTACAAATTAGCAATTTAGTAAAAAAAAAAACTTGTACTCGATGATAATTTATCAATAGCTGAGATGTCCTAGCTGCTGCAACCGTAGAAATAAGCGGAGGGGTATTAGAACACGTCTAGTCCTCCTTGGATCGGTGGACTAGGTGTTCTAAGTAATAGTAGCGCAGGTTATTTAAATGATGTGTGTGTGTGTTTTTTTTCCAATCTATAAAATAGTAATGTTTTTTTCCGTTAAACGTTCTCGGGGTCTTCCGATGACGCTCGTGTAGTACGGTTCTTATTAATTCCAAATTTTGGCCGCGAACCAAAATACCGAAATCGTCATTCCGATCACCAGCTATGCCATGATAATCGTGTTGTTGATACGACGGGCATCCGCGGTTGTCGTAGGTTTCTTTTTAACTCGACCGCATAGGTCATGTTGGTAGTTAAATAGTGTGACTAATTTTTTATCTAGACCACCGGGGTGACCAACGAATCTAAAA